GACAAAAGAAAACAAAAACAAAAGCAGCTACAAAGAAGAAATAAAATACTTGTTTCTATTTCCTGGAGTTCATCTTGTTAAATATTATTTTATATGGGCAGATGCACATAGTTATTGCGCTATGTGATCCTCTCCTAAGAATATCCTCTTTTGGTCTCACTGTGTGAATGCCTAGAGGTCATTATAATTTAGCATGTCCCAGTGTATTTTTTTTCTTTTACCATCCAGTATGCTTTTACTGGTAGATTTATAGGCACATTTTAGTTACCACAAATGAAGGGAACTATGTAACATAGTTTCCCTGGGTCTGGCTTAATTCACTTAATATAATTTTTTCCAAGTCTTTCCATTTTCTTATGAATGATACAATACTATTCCTTCTGATGGATGAGTAGAATTCCATTGTGTATATATACTACATTTTCTTGGTCCACTCATCAACTGAGGGGCATCTAGATTTATTCCATATCTTGGCTATGATAAACAATGCTGCAATAAACATGGTTGTATGACAGCCTTAGTGTGGCCTTGTTTGTGTTCTATTGGATAAATGCCCAGGAGTAGAATTGCTAGGTCATAGGGAAGCTCTATGTTTAGTCTTTTGAGAAATCTCCATACTGCTTTCTAGAGTGGTTGAACAAATTTACATTCCTACCAACAGTGTAGTATAGTAGACTTTCCCTTGCCACATCCCTGCCAGCATTTGTTATTGTTAGTTTTCTTGATAATAGCCATTCTAACTGAGGTAAAGTAGAATCTCAATGTTGTTTTGATTTGCATTCTTCTATGGCTAGAGATAGTGAACATTTCTTCATCTGCCTATTGGACATATTTACTTCTTCTGATAAGTCTCTCTTTAGTCTTTCACCTATTTATTGAGTTGTTGTAAAGCAATTGTTTAAGGCAATTATTTCTCTGCTGGAGTCAAACCCCACAGAACCAAAGGCAATTGCTTAACGCAATTATTTCTCTGCTCAAGTCAAACCCCACAGAACCAAAGTGTGGACTTTCCACCACCTACACTGGTAAAGGCTCATTGAAAAAAGTCTACTCCTTCATTTCTAGCTATATTAAACTACCTCAGTCCACCTGCTAAGAGTAGTCTCGGAGAGCTAACTTGGGTTCAGGAGGTTTTTGGTAAAATATATATCATGTATATTACCATATATATGAAGTTTAAGAAACAGGTAGAACCTATTGGAAATATAAACAATGTTGCCTTTTGGGAATGTAAATTGGGGGAGGGTCAGGACTTTTAATCTCCTTTGAACAATAATAAATTATATCACCTGATATTGGTGAAGACCACTTGATGGTCCTGGACTTCTACATTTATCAAGTGGTAATAATTCCCCTCCTTGCTGAGGTAATGTCAGAGAAGAACTACTCAGTATTTTTACTATTCCCTGGTAACAAGACCATGTCCATAGTGTCAGTAGAGGTTGTGTTGTTCGCCAAACAGTAAGGCATACCCTCTCTCCCTCTGAACCAGGGTGGTATCAGTAGAGGTCTAGAGGACAACCAAACTCCAAGTCCTGACCATTAGCAACAAGAAGCCCTTCCCCTTTCTATGGGTGTCAATGGAGACAATCTGGACTTTAGCTACCCCCAGAAGTAATGAATATCCAGAATCTTAAAGTATCATGTCTGATTTCAATAGAAAATCAGTTATCATACTACAAACCAAGAAAATCTCAAACTGAATGAAACATGCCATTCATATCAGTATACCAAAGAAATTGTAATTTTCTGATTAGCACTTTAGTTATCATAATATGCTGCAACAAGCAGGTGCAAACATGCCTGGATAAAATAGAAATCTTGTGGGGAAGGGACAAAGCAGGAGGGATAAAGGAAAACTAAATAAAGGAAAACTAAAATGAAACTTGAACTGAAAGAATAACTAAAATGAGTAAGTCAATGGATTTTAGCAGTAGCTAGGGAGAAGGTGGGGGGAAGAGTACTCACTAGAAGATTACTAGAAGAGTACTCACTTTGGGCAACACAATGCTCATTTAATGAACAGAGCTTCAGGGACTCATAGTACTACAACGAAGATCTAACATTCATATTAGAGTCATACACAGAGAGAAGAAAGAAAAAGTGAAAAGTATTCAAATAAATAAGAGCAACTCTCAAATTTGCAAGACATAAACCTTTGGGGGAAAAAAGGCCAAAGAATCTCAAATAGGATAAGCCTAAACAAATTCATGCTCAAACATGCCATAGTAAAATCTGGGAAAACTAAAATCCTGAAGGCAGCAAGAAAAAAGCATTAGTATCAAGGCGGGAAAAACAAGTTTAAATGACAAATGATTTCTCATCAGAAATCATGGAGACCAGAAGGAAGTGGCATGATATTTTTCAACTGTAGAAAGAACTGTCAAGTTAGAAAACTATTCCCAGCAAGAAACATTCTTCAGGAATAAAGAGAAAGTCAAGATATTCTCAGAAGACTTCTGCAGAAAGAATTTAGAAATTTTCTAAAGAGAAAAGAAATGATAAAAGAAGGAATCTTAGAGTATCAGGTTGGGGCAGTATGTTATCTAAAAGATTGTTTTTTGTCGGTCATGGGGCTTGAACTCTGGGGCTTGGGCGTTGTCCTTGCACTCTTCAGCTCAAGGCAAGCGCTCTACCACTTGAGCCACAGCACTATTTCCGGTTTATTGAAGATAGAGTTTCACGGCCTTTCCTGACCAGGCTGGCTTTGAACTGTGATCCTCAGATTTCAGCCTCCTGAATAGCTAGGATTACAGGCATGAGCCACCAGCGCCCAGCTTTGGGATTTCTTCTTTAGGTAAAGAAAAATTCTAAAATTAACTTTCACAAAAGTTTCACATTTCTGTGAATATAATAAAAGCCACTGAGTTATATGCTCTAAACAGTGAAGTGTATGGTATGTAAGCTATTTCTCAATAAAACTGTTTTGAAAAAAAAGATCAGTTGATGAAATTACTGTTGAGAATTTTCTGGTCATTATGGATAAATTCTATATCTTGAAGTAGTAGTAATATCTATGTCCCTTTCATACAGATTTGTTATGTAAATATATACATACACATATACACTATACATGTGTATTCATATATCAAAATTAACCAATACAAATATTTACAAGCTGTATATTTCCTTTATGACAATTATATTTTCATAAAACATGGTAAGATAAGAAAATTACTAGGTAATAAATTTCCTTCTAAAATGCTTTTGTCAATTTATACATACAAATAACACCTTAAAATTCAGGCTTTCTACTATATATCTTACCAACTATAATACTGAAATTGAATAGCTAAAACCACAGTGAACCATCACTGTAATTTTAATAGTCAATTTTTTGTCATTAAAAGGCTATTCATATTTTCCATTGTATTTCGTATATTCGTTTCAAAGAATGTCTTTTCATTTGATTTGCCAATGTTTGACATTTTCTGGCCTATTTCTTATCATTTATATATGTTATCAATACTTCTCCAAAGCTGAATTTGTCTTCTCTATTGTTATTCTGTCCTTTCATAATCTGAAAACTTACGACATACTCAAAAATAAAAATTTAATCACAGAAATAGTGTGGGCTTCTCTTTTACTTTTTTTTTGAATATTTTTATTATCTTTAAGTAGTTGTACAAAGGCGTTGTCATTCACCAAAGCAGATGATGCATACAAGTACATCTCCATCACCCTTTTCAACACTCACACACCCCTTCTATTCCTTCTCCTATCTTCATTTTAGTTTATGTATTTGACTTTTTGCCATTTATCAAAGCAGCCAATGTATACAACACATCTGGATCTGTGCCATCACTTCAACATCTGGGCTTCTCTTTTAAAAGAAAGTTTTCTCTAAAATTTTTGTTAAGTTTTTTTCCTATATTATTTTTTTTCAGGGAGGAAGAGAAGTTAATTTTACCAAACAGCTGGCCCCATCATGCATGGTGAAGACCACATGACCAAAAGACCACATAACCTTATGAGGTAGAAATCCAATTTTATTCTCACTATTTTATTTTTATATAGTTTAAACTACTTTGTTTATACTATTTGTGCATTTATGTTTACACAAATTATTGCTAGATTTTTCATAAATAATTTGTATTTTATATTAATTATATACTATCTTACTGTTCACAATATTTTAAGAAATTTTGATGTATAAAACAGATAAAAGACATAACTTGTCTTAAATTCCTAGTACACTGTAAGATAAAAGATCATGGTGTTTCTTACAGAAAATACATAAATACAAAAGTTTTAATTTTCAAATCCTCATAGGCTTTTCTATTGTGTCAAATTAGTCACAAGAAAATTAACCTGCACATTTTTATTTTCAGATTGGTAACTGAAAGAAAAACTTAATTTTATTTGCAACTAATATCATTTTCTTTTCCGTATTTGTTCTCTATTCAGTTAAACAATAATGGCATTGAAGTCTAGAATGATACCACAATACTTTAACATTTTTAGTCTTACTTTTGGTTTTGCATATCAGTTTGCTTTTACTTAACACTTTATAATTGTACTATGAAATCGTGGTATAATAATACTTAAAATAATATTTTCTCTTGCCTTGTATTCTACTTTGAGAAGTTTCCAATGTCCAGGAATTGTTTTCATTATCAAGCCTCTGTTTCCTAGACATTAATTAGTTTTACGTTGTTTTGTTTTTGAGATAGGATTTCACTGTATAGCCTATATTAGCCCACTTTTTGATTCTCTGCCCCAGTGACTTAAGTGCTACTAATCCAGGCAGATTTTATGCCTGGAATACACCAAATTTAAACATGAGTAAGTACTTGCTATGCTTGAATAACATTGGCATATGTGAACATCTTTAAATGGCAGGGTTATCTCTATTAATACTTTGCATTTACTGAATTCTATAGTTTTTTCATGTTCTCTAGTTGTTTTGAGAACTGGTTATAAACTATGGAACCATGAATTTAGCATACGTCTAAGAAATAGTCTTATAAAACAGTGCAACTCGGATAATGAAGACTTACCTCTATGTCTTTTCTTAATTTTTCATGTGTCTTTTTTTCTTCAAGAAGAAAACATGTTTTTTCAATGATAGTTTCTTTTACAGCTATAATTTCATTCTTTAGCTTTGAAATATCTTCCTGTATGTTTATAAAATTTTAAAAATTCCAGTCATAAAAGGAACGGTAATATAAATTCAAGACTTTTAATGTTGCTAATTCAAGAAAACTAGCCAAATCAACGTTTATTCTTGGTAAGATTAGCAAAAACTCATCCTTAGCTTGGAAAATATAAAACTGAAACCAAATGAAGATAAGACCCAAAGTGTAGTTATGGTGGTAACTGCCACATAAGAGGGCTAAGGATTTTTTTAACTGTTGAGCAACAAATGGAGATATTTTAAGTATATTTATGATCTTCAAAGAATAGAGAGAAAAATATAAAGATTTTAAGGTATAGTTATTAATTCAGATTGTTAGTATAGTAACATTGAGTATACTACATGGATTTTAATTGGTTTGGATCCATTATCATAGAAGTTAGAGACATCACTTGGGGGGAATTACACTTTCTCCAACAAATGGAGTGTTCACTATGATTTTGTTTGATCATATGTTATATAAATCAACAAAGGATCTATAAATATTCATTTGCACATTTTACCTACTTATTACATAACTTCTGTAGTTAACTCATTTTTTAAAACTTGTGAAAATAATTCCTGAATGTAGTAGAACAGCAACGGAAATGTTATTGACTTCATTATCAATTTACTGTTTATACTTAGAAGTATTTATGTACTTATAAAGAAAAGTAACAGAGAAAGTTTGGTAATTAATAATGCAAACCTGTACTTGTGTTATTTGGCTCCCTCCTGGATTTTGGAGATCTTGCATTAATTCATCTTTCTTTATCTTTAGCTGTTTAACAAGAGCTCGTTTTTCATTAAGGTCAGTCACAAATGACCATTTGCTTTCTATCTCCCCCAAGCTATCTTTATGTCCATTAATTTTTGCATAATATTCATTATATTTTATCACGTGTTTCTCATAATCTTCTTTAGCTGTTTCTATATCAAACTTAAGCTTTATATTTTCTTTATGTATTGACTTGATTTCAGTTTCAAGACATTCACACTTAAGTTTGGAATTCTCCATTGTATCATCTTGCTGATAAATTTGCCTCTCTGTTTCTTTTGTTTCCTGAGAGACAGCTGCTATTTGTTTTTCAAGTTCATGAAGTTCATTCTGCAATATATTTCAATATTATTATTACTAGTGAATTATTCAGCCTGAGAGTAAAGTCATTGTTTTAAATATAATGCATATAGGAAAATCACTTAACATAGTTATCAGATATAGAAAAAAATGCATAGAAGTATACATGCAATAGTGTAATACAATTATTTTATAATCTCATAAAAGTTCTAGAGTTATCCTATTTCTTAATTTTTAATGCTTACCTATTCTAAATCTTTTTATTTTCCTATGGCTTTTACAATCAGAATGACAATTATAACAAAAAGTCTCCTGGGATTTTTGTTGCAATTGCTTTTAATCTACATATAAAGACAAGAGAACTAACATTTAAACAATACCAAATTTTCTGACTCATAAAAATGGTATAGCTCTCCTGTTGATTAGATCTTCTTTAATTTTTCTGATCAATGTTTTGTATTTTTCAACTTAAAGGTCTTGTAAATCTTTTGTCAAAACTTCTCCAAAGTACTACAAAGTTATGGTACTAATATAAATGACACCACTTTAAAATTTTAAATTTCTTTAAAATTTTAAATAGATTTTACATTGTTATTTAACCTATAATTTATTTAAACTCATTCTACTAGTCCCTAATAACTTAAAAAAGGATTCGTTGGGATTTCTTAAAGATAGTCATGCAATCAATCAATAAAAACAAATTTAGTTATTCCTTTCTCATCTGTATTCATTTTACTTCTTTTCCTTATATGATTATACTGCTTGAAATAACAGTTGAACTACCATATGAATATAAATGAGAGCAGGCATCTTGCTTTTGTTCATGATCTTAGGAGAGAAACATTTAATCTTTAAACATAAGGTACAGAGTTGGTTACAGGATTTATATAGATTCTCTTTTGGGGGAATTAAGTTCCATTCTATTCCTAATATTCTGGGAGGGTTTTTTTTTTATCATGAGTGGATATTAGCTTATAACAAGTGCCTTTATGTATCTTAATTCTCTTTCTCCAACAAATTTTAATAGTTCATTGCTTAAAATCCATTAAAGCCTTCCCATCACTTCTAAAACAAAGAAGAGTTTCTTATCATGGTGTATATCCTACACCGTTTCTCAAAATATACTCTGTGCTTACACATCATCAAATGACTTATAACGCTGTGAGTGCGCTAGTGCTATTCAGGACGTGGCAAATTTACTCTGGAATATCATCCTCCTCATCCCTGATGTATAAACCTGTCCCAGAAGCCTAGGCTTTCTGGTAAATTCCAGAGGTTCTTTAAAATCTAACTTTGAAAGACTATTCCTTTTGTGCTCACTCCTTCAGTAATAAATCTGTGCTGAGTTCATTCATGATACTACTGTTGACACTACTATCACACATGTAATTATTTGCTTACTCTTTGTCTCCCTCCCCAGTAAGCAATATACAATGCAAGGCTAAAGACAATGTTTAGCGAAATACTTATATCAAGAGTAGGCTCCCAATGTAAATGAAATAATATCTGTGAAACACTCTGAAGATTGAGAAATTTTATAGAACATTTCTTCACAGAAATATAAGACATTATTCTTGTATTATATTCTAACATAATGCAAATATTTGTAAGAAATTCATATTACCACATTAATATTACCATCATATGTCAAACTAATGTAAAAATCTGGAGCCAATTCATTAAACCTTCATAAAAATCTTAGAGGAAGTCAGTCCTATTTTTGTTTTTTTCAGTCGGTCTGGGCCTTGGCACTGTCTTTTAGCTCTTCAGCTCAAGGGAAGCACTCTACCACTTGAGTCACAGCACCACTTTCAGTTTTCAGGTGGTTAACTGGAAATAAGAGTCTCATGGACTTTCCTGCCCAGGCTGGCTTTGAACCGTGATCCTCAGATCTCAGCCTCTTGAGCAGCTAGGAGTATAGACATAAGCCACCAGTGCTCAGCAATCAGTCTTATTATTATTTCCACTTTACAAATGAGGATAGAGAGACACAAATTCAATTGTAAAGTTAAAACTCACAAACCTGGCCTTTCAAACAAGGCAGTTCAATTTCATAACCTATTTTCATTTTGTGATACATGTAACAATATTTTTTAAATACAAGTAAATACACAGTTTTCATTTTTATTTCTCTAGTCATAATCACAGAACATAGTTATATTTAATTATGTTGCATGCATAGACCAAAAATAATTCCTATGTTCCTCATAAAGGAACCATGAATATATTGAGAAGGAATGAACACAGAAGCAGGCTACTTGAACTGTTCACATAATGATCCACAAGCTATAGCTTTCTCAGCTTCTTTAAATGTGTCATTTTGGAAAAACAAAATTTCTCAAACAAATGGATTTAAAAGATTCAATGTTATTCTATGCTCTTATCCCATGACAGCAATAATACTGTTCAGTCTTTTTAATGTATGGGAACATAGCATATTCCATAAACCTGAAATGCTCATATAGATGTCACTGAAGAGGAATAGAATAATTGAGAAAATAAATATGAATTTCGAGTTGATCCTAATATTACATATTCTTAGTAATTTCCCTATCACTAATAACATTTGAAGAAACATTGAGGAGACATGTGAAGAATAATATGAAAGATAATATGAAATAAATTACCTGCAAATGGAACAGAACTTTTTTGTTTTTTTCTATTTCGGATATTTGTGATTGCTGTTGTTTTGCAACTTGCTCTACAGCCTCAGTTAATGAAGATGTGTCTTGTTTACTCATAGCTAGACAAAGTACATGATAAAAAGTAATGCAAGCATTTTACAAAAGGTGTATTTTTACATGAATCATGAAAAACAGTGCTTTTTTCTAATGAACTAAACTAAGAAGAGCTATCTTCCTTTTTTGACTCTGTAAACAAACTAAAAAATAATAATAAGCAGTTAAAAGTTGTTTACTATATTTCCTTCTTTCTGAAATAACATATTTTTACTGTCCTAATTTTTTTAATCCAGGTAACTTACACATATAATTTCAGGGCTACCATACCATATGAACAACAATTATAATTGATTAGTTTTCATTATAGAATTATATTTGCAGGTTAGTATTCATTTTCCAGTCACTAAATGCATATATTTCTTCCTGTATAGCTATTTTCCTCTAATTTACTGCCAATATTAGCACAATCATCGTCTCATACTACTCTTTTGCTGTTGCTTATCTTTTAATTATTTGTTTCTTAACATTGCTCCATTACCTTCTTTAGGAATACCTTCACTCTTCCTTTCTTTGTTGTCTGACATTGTCAACTCTATGATAGGGTAAAACTTAAAATAATGGCAGAACCTGTGAAAAAATTCAATGAATACTTAGCCAACCACTGATGTATAAGGTAGCAAACAAAAACTTCTGTCCAGTTATTCTGTCCAGGGTGAGTGCTACATATATTTTGGGCTATTCTTTATCTAAGAGTAACAGATGAGATGAATGGGTGGGTAGATATTTTTCTCTACTGAAAGATTAAGAGTTGTTCTAACATGAGTCATGAGGTATCTGAGTTAAGGGCATGACAGCTTTTGGAAAAGGGAATCTGAATTTTCCTACCCATTATATACATTTTGTATTTCTCAATTATTTGATGAAGAAAACTAAAGAATGAAGAAATGAGATTTATGTAATTTAAAGTAACTGGTACTTCTTGATCTCTATTTCAACCCCAAATTGAAGCATCCCAAATTGAAGAACTCTTGTATGATTATTCATGAAAAATACTGTAAAATTGGATGTTTCAGTTTTATTGGATGGCTATAGAATGGAGGAAAAATAATCTGCTGCCACCTACTGATAAATTATTAGAATTGCGTGAAGCAATGCAAAAAGACTAAAGGCAATACTGAAAACTCTTAACCAGGATTTTAAGAGAAGTTAAAAAATTATTAGAGACATCCAAAAGAATGAAATAAATCATTAAAAAATTGTTCTAGGGAGCTGGGCATGTTAGTACACACCTATAATCCCAGAATATGGGAGACTAAGGCAGAAAGATCTGACCTGTGCAAGGAGATACTGCCTCTAAAAATCTATCTATATCTCTATGTGTGTGATACATTACACATATGTATTGTTATCATGTATCGATTACATGCAAGAGCCTTAGAATAAGCTGGAATTAAAGGTTGTTTCTTTCTCTGACCAGGCAATAAGATTAAAATTTCAGTACATTGAAAACAGAATGAAATTAGTATCATCAACATTCATCTATTATACATGTTGTTTTTAGCTTTGTACTAAAGGTGGAATTTTTCTGAATGTAACAGATATGTTTTGGTAATTCTGGGCAACCAGATGACCAGACAAGTATTTCAAAAATGTCTTGTCTCTGGGAGGGAAATTAGAGGCTTATATTGAAATCAGGTCACAACCACCCACTTGTCCCATACAGGAAGGTAAGGGAAAAACTCTTTTTGTTTACCTCTAAACAAAGTAAGACCAACTTCCAAACTAAGAAGAGCTTTGTAGTGGGCTGAATGATAACCCTCAAAAGGTCAGTTCATGTAATAACCACCAAGACCTTTATATAAATATGAGTCTATTTGGGAAAAGGATCTTTGCAGAGGTAATTAGGTTCAGGACTTCAAGATGAGATTATCCTACTTTTTTTTTTTTTTACAATTTTCTTGTTTATGTGGTACCAAGGAATTGAACCCAGGACCTCATGCATGCTAGGCAAGCACTTTACCACTAAGCCACATTCCTAGCCCTCACCCTGAATTTAAGATGGGCCCCCAATTCAATGGCAGGTGATAGTGAATATGCAAATAATGGCCAGACTATAAAAACAGAATTCTCAGGGCTGGGAATGTGGCTCAGTGGTACAGTGCTTGCCTTGCATGAATGAAGCCCTGGGTTCAATTCCTCAGCACCACATAAATAGAAAAAAACGGAAGTGGAGCTGTGGCTCAAGTGGTAGATGCTAGCCTTAAGCTGAAGAGCTCACGGATGGCACACAGACCCAGAGTTCAGGCCCCACAACGGACAAAAAAAAACAGAATTCTCAACCCATAACCAGAAGCAACTAACCCAGGAAAACAAGTCATTATTTAGAGTAACCAGTCCAGAATTTCAAGTAACAATCTAAGAATCCAAATTAAATTAAGTGGCTCGAAATGGCCAGCACCTGACTAGTGACTAGGACATTTTCCCTATTTCTCCCTAACTTCCAACTTGGGATCAACCAGAAAAAAATAAAAAAATTCAATTGCATAGGATTCCTTATCCGTACCTGTAACCAATTATATAGGATGCCTCATTTCCAGGTAGCCAGTCTTCAGTATTTTTGGGGGGAGAGGTCCGGTCGTGGGGCCTGAACTCTGGGTCTGGGCGCTGTCCCTCAGCTCTTCAGCCCAAGGCTAGTGCTCTACTACTTGAGCCACAGCGCCACTTCCGGCTTTTTTCTTTTTGCTTATGTGGTGCTGAGGAATCGAACCCAGGGCCTCAGGCATGCAAGGCAAGCGTTCTACCACTGAGCCACCTTCCCAGCCCCTTCAGTAGTTTCTTATGCCATCACTTCTACTCAAGCCATACCCATTTCTCTGCCTGCCTTTAACTCTGTCCAAACCCAAGTGGTGGTAGCAGATTCCCTTGCAAGCTCTGAATATATAGACTATGTTTATTCTCATTTGGTTGTTCTTCATTGATTTTCAGGTAATTTCATATGAGAAAAGTAAAGAGAAACAAGACTCAGACACATAAGAAACAGCATGTGAAGATGGAGGTGGAGTAACCCAAGCCTTGCCTTAGGGTAAGGCTCACTGCAGATCCACCAGAAGATGGAAATCTTCAAAAAATATGGTCATGCCAACACTTCCAACTCCAAGTCCAGTCTCTGTAAGTGTAAGAGAACTGTTTAGATTGTTTAAACATCCAGTTTGTGGTAATTTGTTAAGGCAGCCTCAGAAAACCTAACAAAACTTTTTAACAAGAATATCTGAATCTTTTACAATGTCCTTTTCAATAAGGACATTACTGTAATCTTAGTGTAAGTGTAAACTTAGTGTGTTCAGAGTTTTTGAAAATTCTACTTTTCTCTTAAGATTTCCAAGGAGGCCTAGTGTGATGATGGTGCACTCTGTGTTTACACAGATACTCACACTGGGAGGTGGCGATGGGAGAATCAAAGTTCAAGGCCGGCCTTAGCAAGAAGCTAGTAAGAGCCCATCAAAAAAACAAGCTGGGTATGATGGTTCATACCTGTAATCTTAGCTATTCAGGAGGATCTTGATTTAAAGTCAGCCTGGGAAAAAGCGCAAGATTTATCTGAAAAAAAAATTATATATGTCAGGATTTCCTAGTGTTCCCCTTTCACAGCCAGTTCCTCAAAGTGTTCTAAGTCCTTATGAGGAAGAAAAATACATAGCCAAATAATTTAAATGAAGAGGTACATCTGATAATTTTGTTCTACCTATTGAATTGTACAATCTTGTGTTTGTTCCAAAACCTGAGTATCAGGCCAGGTGCACTCACTGTCTTACTTTAATGACTTAACTTTTAAAATCTACTTAGTATTTTGGACTCAGTAGAGGTATATAAATATAAAAACAGGAATTTTAAACAAAAGGAAAATAAAGCCTAGGGAAATCTTAGCTGATGATTTACCTGACAGATGTAGGCAAGATATATAATGTAGAACTCCCATCAGAAGATCCTATGCAAAGAATAGACCCTAGACTTTCTCAATAGATTGGCAAGTGGACATACCAAGTGAACATTGTTTTAGGCTAAAACAGAATTTAAAACATTATGTTAAACTTTTCCATAATTCTCTGGTTTAACTTGTTTTCCCTTTTTGTCTTGCATACTTATGTCCTGCATACTCTAACATTCATGTTAAAAAGTATTTAATTCAATATTTAATCAACTTTTAAAATTTATTGCTTGGATATGGGTCCAGACTACCTATGAGAGAGCCTTGTATATGAACAAAATGCTAAAAGAAACTACTTTGCTTGGTAAGGGGATGGGACTTTAACAAAGGTTGCTTGAGTTTGAATAGTCTTGAAACTCAGCAGCTAAACAGTCATTTAAAAAGGATATTTTAGGGGAGGTAGGGGGAGGGTGGGAAGGGATGGGAAGGGGAAACAAAGGAGGAGGCTATAATGCTTGATAAGAAATGTACTCATTATTTTTCCCATGTAATTGTAATCCCTCTGTTCAGTATTTTCACAATAAAAAATAAATAAAAATTAAAAAAAAGAAATGTACTCGCTATCTTGCCCATGTAATTGTAATACCTCTGTATGGTATTTTCACAATTAAAAATTATAATAAAAAATGCTTTGTTTAAAAAAAAAGGGTATTCTATTTAGAATCTATAACAAATGTAAAGAATGTAATGTGTGTCCCACTCAAAGAACAGTATGTGTTTGAAAAGCGTTGCGGCACTTATTTTTCAAACCTAATTATGCATTTGAATCATCTATCAAAAGTAAAACAAGAACCCAAGTAAAACATGCCTAGGCCTGATTCTGATTCACTATTCAAACCTTGTAGTTCAGATGTGATGATGAAGAATCATCAGAGTGGGATCAGATGAAGTAAGGACATTAGGAAATGAGTCTAGGAGCAGATAGCAAAGGAAATGGTATGCAAATACACTATCACAACTTCCCCAACATCATTTTGAATTTTTTTGTTTTTTACTGTCACTTCTCTTGCATGAAAGAATCGGAACTCTCCCCCGTTGTCTATAACAGGAACAAATGTTTTGCATCTACTTTGTAACTAAAAAAATCTTTCTCTGGAGATCAACATTTAACATAGAACAAGTTCAGGATAGAGGATATCACTCACTTCTAAGTGAAAGTCTAGTGAAAACACAATTTAAAAAAAAAAAACAGTTGACAGAGATACTGAAGAGTAGTTCTATATTGAGATGGTGTTTTTGGTCCTTGGTCAAGTAGAAACAGGTGTCCATTTACAAGAGCTCTTCTATAGTCCCAGACTCCTGAGATTTTTCTCAGAGGAAACTTCTTCAAAACTTACATATGTAACAACAATAAAGACAGAAAGATCTTTACCTCACAGCCAGATCTACAGGACTTTTTCTTTTCCTTTTTGAAGGTCAGATAACCCTTTCCATATATGGGCATTCCTACCAAATTGCAGCTGCTCAATGGTTTTTAAATAAACAATGTGCCTCTTGGAGGACAGTTAAAGGATGCTTAATGTACCTTTAATACAATTCCAAGAATTAATGCCTTGTCTTACTGAGAGCATGCATTTTCAAAAGGCCTATGGTACAGCTGAGGAAGTAGAGTGGTAGAGTGCACATCATGAATACA